ATGCAATAAACATTCTTCTTCTTTATCTTTGTAGGCATTTGTTGATCTTGAGGCTTATGTCGTCTTTCAGGGCCAAACGATGCCTCATCTCAGTCAGGTAAATCAGAGGACATGGCGGCGGTGGTGGTTCCAGTGTTGTTCCTGCTGTTGGTGGGTGTGTGTGGAGGCCTGGTGGTGCTTTACCTCAGACACCGTCGGCTACAGCACAGCTTCACCGCTTTCGCTAACAGCCACTACAACACTCGTCTGGGCTCTGCCATTTTCTCCTCGGGAGATGAGCTGGGTAAGACCAGTCTCCTGCCTTTCATGAAATCTGTCTTCAGTACACTTCAGAGAAGTGTCGTTTAGTTCACTTCAGTTTAGCTCAGTTGGCTTGAGATCAGTTGACTTCAGTTCATCTCAGTTCACGTCATTTTAGTTCAGTTTACTTGTGGTTAGCTCAGATGGCTTGTGTGTTTTAGTTCAATTCACTTCTATTTAGTTTAGTTCAGTTTACTTCACTGTGTTTGAGTTCATTTCACTCCATTTCATTTCAGCTCAGATGACTTCAGTCAAGTTCACTTCCATTTAGTTTTATTTTATTTCAGTTCACTTCAGTTTAGCCCAGTATCTCTTCAGTTAAGTTCACTAGTTTAGTTTTTTTTTTTTTTTTAGTTCAGCTCATTTTTAGTTAGTTATTTTGCTTTGTTGAATAAGTTGACCGTTAACATCACATTTAGTTTATTTTAGTTCACTTAAATTGAATTCAGTTTAGTTTAGTCGACTTCATTTTAGTTCAGGTCACTTGTTTAGCTCAGTTGAGTTCATTTTAGTTTAGTTCACTTCATTTCATTTCTGTTTAGCTCAATTGACTTCAGTTCAATTCGATTTAGCTCAGTATGCTTAAATTTTGTTCAGTTAACTTCGGTTTAGATTTGTTCACTTCAGTTTGGCAAAATTGTCCTCAGTTCACTTTAGTTCAGTTCAGTTTACTTCAGTTGTGTTGTGTTCAGTTTATTTAATCACTTCAATTAATTCAACTTCACCATTTTGAATAAGTTCAGTTAAATTCTTTTCACTTCATTTTATTTCAGTTTAGTTCACTTCAGATCTTTGTTTACCTGAATTCAGTTCTGTTCCCTTAAATCCAGTTCAGTTATCCACACTGTGAAAATTGGCTATTAAGATGTTTCTTTGTTCCCTCTCTTCTTAAGGTGACGATGATGAAGATGCTCCTATGATCAGTGGCTTTTCAGATGATGTTCCCATGGTGATTGCATAGCTGGACAACTCTTCTATCCTCCTCCTTCACTTCCCACTCCACTTCCTCGTCATGTTTTCTTACGTGCCCATCCGGCACGCCTTCAAGCTATCGAGCCCCTTCCTCTTTACCCCTCCGGTCACTTAGAAAAACGCTGGATTTGGGTTTCTGGACCCTGATGAAGAAAAGAAAGCATGGAGCAAAAGAGATATTTTTGAAAATAAGATGCACTTTTTTCGGATGCGCAATAACTTATTTTTTATATATAATATATGTGGGTATTGGACTTTGTAGGCATTAACTGAAGCAAACTGTGAAGGAGTTTGTCAGCTGATCAGCAGGCTCACTGAACAGGGAAACGACCCTTATTGTACAACAAACTCTCACATGAGCATTGCATTTGCTTAAAGCCAAAACAAGCATCTAGATATGGGTACATCAGTGTAAAAACGCAAACATACACAACAAAAAAATCTAAAAAGCAAACCTCATATGTGTACAGATGAGAAAAATGGACCAATGAATGCTGATGAAAAGGGAAGGCGGTACGTAGGCTGTTGGCAGTAAATTGCACAGGATCAGATTTTTGTTGTATTATATGCTCAATTTGTGTCACTTTATGTCAGTAGGCCTGCATTTGTCCATGGTACCTTGTTTACACTTTGTATCCATTTTTAATTTTCTTGCTAAGCAATAGATTTAATTCCCTCTGCTTTTTGACAATGTGAAAACCGTAACCTGTTTTGGTTGTTTTATCAGCTGTTTTCAGAAAAGAATGACCAAAATTAAGACAGTTATTTGAGTGTTGTCCACATTAAGTCCCATGCTTAGTCCATATGTTCACTGTCTTCTTTGATTTAACCTACACATTTTATCTAGCGAATATTATAATATTGCATATCCTGTGTGCTGTCATGGTTTTAGTCCTTTAGTGTTCTCAGGGAACTGGGTTAGTGTAGATGTACCAGCGATATATCAGTCACACTGCCACAGGCAGCGCAGTGTGTTTAATTCAGAGACTATTGTGCTGTACAGTAGTTCCATATTGCAGTGAAGCCTGTGCAGCTCTCGTCTGAACGGACCAGAAGGCTTCATTATTGTGCCAAGCTTAAGAAAAGCAGAGGGTAGAGCAGGCGTCTTGCCTTCCCGAACCGTTGTGAAGAGGTACATGTGTTAAATCCATGTTTCATTTCAACTGGATTGCGGGTGTTGCTTAAAAGATTTCTTTATGAATGTATTTTTTTCCCCTTCTTTTTTTTTGTATCTTTTATTGAGGTGACCAGAAATAAGGAAAATGGATATGGTCTACCCCCTTCTTCTTTAATGTTCAAGGATTTTAAAATGAGGTTTATGGCCAGTTTACATTCAAATGCTTGTGGTCATTATTAATGAGACCCCATTATTAATTGGAATTAGAACTGTTCTGTTGATAGATGTGGCTGTTTTTAGTGAAATTGTTCTTTTCAGTACCACATTGCCTTATTACAACACACTGAGTATAGTATGTAGCAGTATGTCAATGTCATCACACATGCACACGTTCACACAAGATTGACTTGAGTAAGAAGAAGAGTAAACAATTGTAAAAAGACTGAAATAGTGCGATAGGAAACGTGTGTATCGACATATTGTGAATTACCACTGTATAAAGTTCCAGTGCAGCACTTGTGTGAATCCTGAGCCACCGTTTTTATTTTATTTTGTCTTGTTTGTATTTTTTACTCGCAACCATTTGTGGCGATATTTGTCATGCCCAGTTTGAAACACATTTATTTTTGGTCAATAAGATGTAAAAAAAAATGTTGACATAGCAGTGATGTTGGACACCGCCATGTTTAAATCTTTGATCTTGCCTGCCTACTGAGGGGTTTAACGATAAGAAACTTGTAAGTGGTACAGTCTGAGATGTTTTATGAACCACTTATGCTGAAATAAATGTGGGAAAACTTGAATCTGACTCCTCTTGCTTTGTGTGGCGGTGGAAATACATTTGCATAGTCAATACCTCACACATCATTCATTAAGTTTTAAAAAAAAATTATTTTAACCACTTGCAGCGGTAACATTTTCTGCACTTGGACATGTCTAAGGGATAGTTCACTCCAAAATGAAAATCATTTTCTCATTATTTTTCATCTTAATTCCATTTCGAACTGTATGACATTATTCGGAACGCTACATTATATTTATTTATTTACTTTTTTATATATAAAGAAAAACTGGTCTGCAAAGCTAAAAAAAAAACAGTGGTTATAAAGTATATTCTGGGTCTAATGATACAGAGATACAGAGCTAAATTTATAACGTTTATTTTGACTGAAAATGACTAAAATCGCTACGTAGGAACATAGACATAATGTCTATGCGTATAAACAGTTGTGAGCAAGCAATGATTTCCGATTCCTGATAAAGGTTTTGAAATTGAATCTTTTCAATTTTTCCTCCCCAAAATCTTTATTTATTTATTGATACCGGTTTAAAACAAAGTCTCTTCATATCCTGATAGCAATAAATAATTATCATATGTGGATAAAGGGCCATAAAAAGTTCATTTAGTCGTTACATTCTGTACGAATGCAATGATAGGATGTCCTACCTGCCTGTCATCCTATATATTTGCATACCTCCGGGCAGCGAGAGTTTGGGGGCGTGGCCACTGTAGTATTGTTGTAGCAGGCTCAACCAGAGGGTGTTTAGCCGGTGTGAAACGCAAGCAAAATTCAAAAACTTGCTAAAATACACAAGAGATAGACAACTGGGTAAACTTACAGTGTTTTTACAAGATGGAGAAGTTAGATTACATTTTTGGGTTTTAATCAATACGACGAGTTCTTCGGAACGTCGCTCAGACGGTTGCAGCACCTTCAGGTTTCTAAGCCGTCAGGGTTTCTTCTTGACAGGTAAGCTAAACCTAAAGTTAGACATTTTCCAAATATGTTGGACGTTTTATTGAATTTTTTTCTTTGACTTTTATAGACCTGTGAGAGCTGTCTGTGATATTTTAGTTGGGGGTGACGCGCGAAAGAGGCATGTACAAAGGTTGTTTAAAAACATGCTTTAGTTCCAATTGACTAGATGACACTAGTATCGCAAAAATAGCTTTAAAGTGATAGTTCACCCAAAAATGAAAATTCTGTCATTAATTACTCATCCTCATGTCGTTTCAAACCTGTAAGACCTTCCTTCATCTTTGGAAGAAAATCATTTTCTCATTATTTTTCATCTTAATTCCATTTCGAACTGTATGACATTATTCGGAACGCTACATTATATTTATTTATTTACTTTTTTATATATAAAGAAAAACTGGTCTGCAAAGCTAAAAAAAAAAACAGTGGTTATAAAGTATATTCTGGGTCTAATGATACAGAGATACAGAGCTAAATTTATAACGTTTATTTTGACTGAAAATGACTAAAATCGCTACGTATGAACATAGACATAATGTCTATGCGTATAAACAGTTGTGAGCAAGCAATGATTTCCGATTCCTGATAAAGGTTTTGAAATTGAATCTTTTCAATTTTTCCTCCCCAAAATCTTTATTTATTTATTGATACCGGTTTAAAACAAAGTCTCTTCATATCCTGATAGCAATAAATAATTATCATATGTGGATAAAGGGCCATAAAAAGTTCATTTAATCGTTACATTCTGTACGAATGCAATGATAGGATGTCCTACCTGCCTGTCATCCTATATATTTGCATACCTCCGGGCAGCGAGAGTTTGGGGGCGCGGCCACTGTAGTATTGTTGTAGCAGGCTCAACCAGAGGGTGTTTAGCCGGTGTGAAACGCAAGCAAAATTCAAAAACTTGCTAAAATACACAAGAGATAGACAACTGGGTAAACTTACAGTGTTTTTACAAGATGGAGAAGTTAAATTACATTTTTGGGGTTTAATCAATACAACGAGTTCTTCGGAACGTCGCTCAGACGGTTGCAGCACCTTCAGGTTTCTAAGCCGTCAGGGTTTCTTCTTGACAGGTAAGCTAAACCTAAAGTTAGACATTTTCCAAATATGTTGGACGTTTTATTGAATTTTTTTCTTTGACTTTTATAGACCTGTGAGAGCTGTCTGTGATATTTTAGTTGGGGGTGACGCGCGAAAGAGGCATGTACAAAGGTTGTTTAAAAACATGCTTTAGTTCCAATTGACTAGATGACACTAGTATCGCAAAAATAGCTTTAAAGTGATAGTTCACCCAAAAATGAAAATTCTGTCATTAATTACTCATCCTCATGTCGTTTCAAACCTGTAAGACCTTCCTTCATCTTTGGAATACACATTCAGATTAAAGGGGTCATATGATGTTGCTATAAAGTAGGGATGGGCGTATCGATCCAAAGTATCGATATATCGATACTGACGCGAGTATCGAAAGTATCGATACTCAAACAAAAAATATCGATACTAAGGTGTGTTTTATTTACCAGTGATTTTGTTAATCGTAAACATAAAACCATGTCTGTATTTGTGATCAGAGAAATTACAAACAACAAGCGCTACGCGTTTGAATAATCAGTGGCAAATCTTTTAAATATAAAAAACGTACTTGCAGTCTGTGAGTCAGAAAAAGCCGGCATTGTAGTCTACTCTCTCAGGATCAGGAAACAGTCCTCCATAAAATGCGCTGCACACATCTGAATATTTGGGTTGAACTGTTCTGGAACAGTGTTGTAAATACAACGTAACCACTGATTTCTAGTCGTGTCCTCTTTTGGAAGATCAAACAAAGTAGTTTTGCTTTCACAACGAAACAGCGTCACACATGGAGGGCTTGAGTGAGCGGAGGCGGGCGGGCTTGAGAACGGCCGGGCCGGCGGATTCGACGAAGGAGTGTCCGGCGGGCTTGCGGCAACCACATGTGATGACCCCGGGCTGGACTCCGCTTCGTCCACGGTGAAAGCCGATCCGGCAATCCACAGCACGAAGTTGATGTATTTCCTCAGAGACCAGCATGGATCAGCTCTAGGCATGACAAAGCAGATATCGTCTTCTTTTGGAAGGCCAACCAAAGTATCGCTTTCACAACGAAACACACAGCGCCTTCATGACATGGCGGCAACCTTCTTTATGCACCAAGAGCTTGTAACACAACAAAGAGAAAGGAAAAATTTAAATCGCATCATATGACCCCTTTAAATGTGTGCATTCCTCTGCTTGTAAATAAGGCACAGCGCATGCAGGTTCTACATCAGCAGTATCACACACATGTGTCATGGTACTGTCATGAATAGTGAACTACGTGACACAGAAGAGAAGAATTGTTGAATTAAGTCATTATTTTTGTTTTCTTTGCGCACAAAAAGTATTCTCGTAGCTTCATAAAATTACAGTCGAACCACTGATGTCACATGGACTATTTTAATGATTTCCTTACTACGTTTCTAGGCCTGGGAACATTTCAGTTGCACTTCTGTCTATGCAGGTTCAGAAAGCTCTCGGATTTCATAACAATATCTTAATTTGTTTTCTGAAGATGAACAAAGGACTTACAGGTTTGGAACGACATGAGGGTGAGTAATTGACAGAATTTTCTTTTTTGGGTGAACTTTTTTGGGATCCCTTTAATGCGTGACTTCAAAAGACTTGGAATATATCATACTATTCGTATGGACCACTTTTATGGTGATTTTGTGGCCTTTTTTTTTTTTATCTGTCTGTCTGTGTGTGTGAACTATTCTTTAATATGTGATTCCCCGAATGTACCAAAAATGATCACGGAACTAATTTAACAATTTATTCAAAGGAAATCACAGTGCATACTGAGGGTCATTCGCCTGCAGTGACCTGGCATTAACAGCTTTGCTCAAGTGCACAATAGATAATTGATCACTCTCGTGGGGTTTGATCCTACAACCTTTTGGTGAACAGCCCACGTCCTTTAATCACTAGGCCACGCCACCCGAGAACAAATGTTTTCTTCTCCTCCACCTCACGAAAATTTGACTCAAATCAACTTATATTTACTTGATTACACATGATGTGAAATAAAAGACATTTCTGAAAATAAGGCAACCTAAAGCAAACAGTTTGCTTAATTTCCCTGCCTCAGCCTCTGGCCCTTCTGCCCTGTGTTTATTGATGTGTGGGCTTTATTTGAACCACAATTAGACATGTTTATAGAGGTGGGATGTCTTTATACACGGCATGTTCCTGTCTCTGTTTATTTGAACTTGTCATCCTTTATTTATCCTCACATCACACTCCTCCAACACAGATGGAGGGCTGTTGCTTGCGTGAGTGACGTCACGGTGAGCGCGGAGCTCGAGGTTTCACAGCTGAATGCTTCAGAGAATGTTTCATCAGTGAGCTGCTCTTTATCTCACAAGGCATCTATTCAGAAACTGGAACCTGTGTTTGTCTGAAGAATTCAGCTTTGATTGTAAATTAAACACGCGTACACCAAAAATAGTGATGAAGAACACTAGGCTATGTTGTTAAACAGTAATGAGAATCATCCTCTGTATGGCTTCTTTTTATAAAAAAAAAAAAAACAGTTTTAAAAAAAATATAACTTAATATTTAAATATTTTTGGTATTGTAATAATTCAGAATTTTTCAAGTCTAATTGATAGGGAAATATTATTCATTTTCTTTTTTTTGTCTTTTTTTTATTTTGAAATATGTCCCTCAAATGGCATTCACTCAGCTAATTTGATTCTTAGAATGAGTTTTGCATGTGACCCTGAAAATGTAATAAATAATTAAATGACATGAAAATGAAAAGTCATGGGACTGAAGGAAATCTGAATCATAATGCAGCTTCCCATAACCACCAGCAGATGTCTCTCATGTCTCAATTTACTGCTCCTTCACTCACATATGCGCCTTATTCCTTATGTTTGCAGGGAAGAGCAACTATAACAAAATAAGACATCTAGTGAACAGTTCCAATAGCAGGGTGAAATTAACTTTGGTGCTTTTCTGTTAATATAATTAATTAAATAGAGAATTCTTTATAGCTTGGGAATTAAAAATAGAGAAAAACTGAAAACAACGTCTTCATCTAAGCACATATAAATACTTATATAATTCATCAGAATTCTTAGATTGAAAAAATAATTGTTACTTTTCAGTAGTGCTGTCAAACGATTAATTGCGATTAATAGCATCCAAAATAAGAGTTTTTAATTAGATAATATATGTGTGTGTACTGTGTATAATTATTATGTATATATAAATGCATACACATACAGTATATATTTTGAAAATATTTACATGTATATATGTATATTCATATAATTTATATTATATATAAATATATTTAAGATATAAATATAGCATTCTTAAATATATACATGCATGGGTGTGTATTTATATATACATAATAAATATACACAGTACACACACATATGTAAACAAAAACTTTTATTTTGGATGCGATTAATCGCGATTAATTGTTTGGCAGCACTACTTTTTAGATAAAGTTCCAGCTGTCATTATACTACATCCAGAAAATATTTAAAACATTTAGAATTAAAAAAAAAAATTATATTATTTAATATTATTGTAAGAGCTATACCAACAGTAAATGTTTAAAAAAAAAAAAATATTTTATGACTTTATTTTTTCTTTAAGTATATATATTTATTAGCTGCCTAATGGTTTGCTTTCTTCCTGAGCTGAAGCTTCTTGAGCAGATTTCCATCGATGCTGCATGCTTGTCACTGTAATGCAGCGGGCTCTTTGATGTTTGTAATGGGAAGGTAATTGATGTTAGCTGTCTAGTGTGTACAGATAAGGACCGTTAAGTTTTACAATGCCAAAACTGCACTGGGACAAACAATTACATGAGGTCAATGTGGTAATGGTCTGTGTCTTTAGAGAAAAGGTCAGACAGGTCTAGGTCCAAAAATAGATTCTCTGTAAAAGTAGAAATGACTCCGTCTTGTTTTCTGTTCCTCTGGCACATATTGTTGATTTTAATGTGCATTGTTCTTACTGTCAGAAATGATTATATAATTGCTTTTAGAAATAACTATATGACTATAAAGAACAGCTAGAACAGATGGATCATCAAGACAACTAAAAGCACTACATTTGAAAGGAAACACCAGCAGTGGGTGCACCAGCACAAAACTCGCTCTTTTCCCTTCACTAATGAACAGTGTAGCTCACTGCAGCACTTTATCTCAGATGCTTTTTTTCTTTCCTTGTTCGACCACTTTTTTGGGAAAGAGGAAATAGCAAAACAGCTTTCTTAGAGTGCAGCTCGTGTTTAAAGACTTCAGCTTTCATCATGATCTGAGAATAATCAGTGTCACAATTAAAATTAATAACAAAAAAGTATCTACTTATGAAAACACATGAGATATTTGTAGGGGTTAGTTTATCAAACATTTATGCACACTATTTTAATGATTTTTAGTAAAATATTTGATCATACTTTTGTATAAAATATTATATTTGAATGTTCATGCTGGAGAAGAAGACTGAGAATCTCATTCATATTTATCATTCTCATATATGAAGCACCTGCTCAGATTTACTGATCTTTGGTCTTTCCACAGGCCTGATGGTCCCTGTGTGCCTGTATGTGTCCTGTGTTTGTCTGCGTTAGCCGCCATAAAACACCAGGAGCCTCTTGAACTGCAAGCTCCTAGAGGTGAAAGGTCACCTGGCAGGTGGCAGAAGAAGGTCAAGGGCATGTCAGAAGTTGACGAGAAGTTACCAAGTAAGTTTTTAGCGCTCATTTGTGGGAGACCTTCTGTCTTACGTCAGTTTAAGTGGATCTGGAAAAAATGTTTTTTGTTTTTTTACATCTTCAAATTTTAATATAAATTACTTTCAGTGTTTCTGACAGGGATTTGGCCCTTCTTCTCATGGGTCACGACTTCCCTCTGTGCCTAGCGCCAGAGGCGGTTTGTTCTCTGCTCAAGAGTGATATAACTTCCTTGACCCTTTCATATAAATTCTTTTGATTGGGAGTTCTGCTGTCACAACACCAACTTAGGGGCATTAAGTGCAAGTCTGAAAGGATTTGGCATTGGTTTTGGGAGTATAAAAGATGGAGAAAATACTTTACCATGGCTTTGAAATTACTGGCATCCAAAACACCCAACATTTTATATCATGTATTTCCCTCCCCATTTTGTGTCAAATTTGGACCATCTATTAGAGTATGCTTCGATGCAAGACACCACGTGAATAAAGTAAAAATGTTCATACACCCCCAGCTGATTAATCATAGTACATGAAGACATTTTTTTGTTGTATGTTATGTTTGAATATGTAAATGAGGCATTATCTAATTATATATGCACTAATTTGCATTCATTTCCAGAACAAAAATCTGGACATTGGATAAAGGCAGGTTCAAAATTATGATTTTTACACGGGATATTTTAGATATCTATTTTTATCACTTCATAAATCAGAAAATACTGTCAACAGCCCCATAAATGTTATATAAGCCAGACGAATAATATGAACAAACCCTTCTGTAAAACCCTTCAGAATATATATGCACTTAAAAATTTTTAAGTTGTAAATGAAACAAAGATTATTGAAATACATTTAACACGAAAGTACTTTCTAACTGTAAGGTTTAATTCAGTGTTACTTGTCATTTCTTTGAACTTTTCATTTCTTTCTTTTTTTCTAAACCAATTTTTAATGTAGGAATAAAACTGGAAAGTTTGGTAGAAAGTGCATGAAGAAAAAACTATTTTATGAAAGCTGCTTTTGAAGAATTACGGTTGCAACTGAAATGTACAGTGTATGTTTCTATGTACAGAAATGTGCATAGAAAAAGTGTAATAATTAACACTCACTTATGTATTTAGGGTGTGTTCTTTTCCACTAGTCTAAAACAAGACATGCTTTGGGAAGCAAAATAAACTAAAATCTCAAAATTGACCAGAACATGAAAAAAAACCAACAACAAAAAAAACACACACAATGGGTTTGCCTGTAAGTCACCCCTAAAGACTTATTTTTATATATAATTGTGTCTGGATAGCCAGCACTGTCTAAGTCTAGTAGCGATTTTTATTGGCCAATCGTGAAGGTCTTTGCAGCCAATAGAAGTGAATGGTGCTGTTCCTCTCCTAGCAACAGGACTCCTTAGTAGTGCTAACTGTGAGCTTACGGACAAATATTACATCACAAATAAAAAGAACTTAACACTCCCGAACAATAGAGGTGCCACACACACCCCTTTAATTCTCATTCTCCTTTCACTCCTGTCGATTTGGTAAATGCTTGCCAGGACAAAGCTCAGCAACATGGAAACCAGCTGTGTCTGAACAGGCCGCTGGGGCAAAATCAGTTATAATTCGTCTGCCGTAGATGAACAGGTTAGTTGACATACAAATTCGAAATTCACCCTCTTCGGGCCTCTCAGACATATGGCGAAGCTTTGAAGCGCACACAGGGCTGCTCTGTCTCCTGTTACACGTGGCCCCGCTCAAGTTGCTATGTTTAGCTTTGGAGAGGTGTCACCTAGTCTCCATCAGCACCAGCCAAATCTCCACAAACATTGGGCACAGTTGAGCTGGCTTACCACCTCCAGCCCAACTGCTGAATCAGAGCCGCGGCGCTCTGAAGATAACTGTGGCATCCCGACATCCCGTCTGAAGTGCCGTCAGGTACCGCAGATGTCATTTCACCCATCTTCCTTACCTGCTACTTCCAGAAATAACACTGGCGAGTGCCGCTGCAGTGCCCCGTTATTCGTCCCTTTTAGGTTCAGCCAAATGAGTGCAGACATTTGGGACATTGCTAGCTCGCCAACGAGCGTGAGAAAGACAAACAAGAGCCTGTTCTCCTGATACCAGCTCCATCCTCTTTTCTGGACCGTTGGCGTGACATCTCAAACAAACAGCCGAAAGGGACGTCTCTTTGCTATTTACAAATTTTCAAAAGAACATTAATCTTCTGTAAGCCTTTCCCATGTATTAGGCATCTTATGTTTATTGGACTGGCTGCAGATTCTTATTTATTTATTTATTAATTGTAAATATTTACAGAGGACTTCTGGCAAATGGAGGTATAGTTAGCACCTCTTTAACACGCAGTATGAGGATGCAAAGTGGTGCCAAAAATACCCCCAGCCACTTTCAGCCTCTAATAGCACATTACGTTGAACAAAATCAGCACTTGCGCTGTGACTGTCAGTTTTTGGCGTATTCTGTTTCTCTTCCAATATGTGCGACACACGTTGTTGATGCATTCAAACATATTTTTGATGTGGATAAAAGCAGGGGAATCGCTAGACCCTTTTTACTGGGGTGTAAGACCCAGAAAATTATCACTGTACCCTAGTAAAATGTTACTGATAAATCTATGTCTGACAATGGAGATTACTGTATAACAATATGAGTATTTTTTTCTTATAATGTTTTAGCAATCATGTTGTGTGTTTACAATATGCTGTTTAGCTAATGATGGAACATTATAAACTATATAGATTGTATAGTTTCTAAATTTAAAGCAAAAACAGAATGGTCTGATTTAAACTTTGTGAAATTATGCTAAATAAAACCTATCTTCACGAAACAAAAACAGCAGATGGGCTGAATGAGATGCAGATTCACTGTCTGTCAGTAGGTGGCGCTTATGGAACAGCAGCAATATTGCTGTTTTCTTGGTTACCTCTGTAAACAAAGCAGCGTGGTGCTTAAAAACACTACTGCATTAGACAGAGATAAGATAAAATAAAAATACCATCTAAACTTTTCTGAAGACAGTCAGTTCCCTTCAGAAATACATTTATATGAACCCTAATTTAATATTTAGGATTTTCATCCAATATTTCGCATCATGAACTGTTAACTTGATCTGCCTGTACATTATTTTATCTTCTTTGCATTTGCCTTCAGCTTCTCTGGCTTCTGTTAACAGCGGTTTATAGTTGGTTTATTTGCCCAGTTAATAAATTAGTTGTGTGATAGTGTAATAGTTCTGAAAGTACTCTAACCATTAATCAGAAGTGTATGGATCTCTTCTCAATTCGCAATGCTGTCTACATTGCTAAACCATTGTACCGGTATGCAGTTTAAAAAAAAATAATTCATACCGTGTGCGTAATTCAAACCGGTTTACCGTTTGAACCGGTATATCGCCGAGCACTAGGAGACTTTTTTTTTTTTATGGTGGCCTGTGCCCCAGTACTGATGAAAGGCTAGAAATGCCCCTGAATGAGAGTGTTTTAAGACATACATGACCACAGTCATCACTAACTTCCTCCATCTTTCAGCGAATCGTTATGAGCAACACATAGGAAACATAATTATTTCCCCTTCTCAGTGAAAGTGAAGATGGATGTTTCCTATGAGTCGCTGCTCCTCGGTGCTCAGCCGTGGCGGCGCCTGGTTCGGCACTGCTGCCGCTGCCGGGGACAGTGTGGATATTGTTTTTTCAAATTTCCTCGCTCCGTCTCCTCCACCGTACTGTAGCAAATGACACCCTCTCTTCATAAACGACACATTTGTTTTAACCCTCGTGGCATGGTCTGCTATTGTTCTGCACCGTGCTTAGAATAGATTCTGCTTATTTTCAGATTCCCTGTGACACAAAGGCTTTTGCATTGAGCGGGAGAAAGAGAACAAATGAAAGCGAGATTGGAAAGAAAGAGTCATTGGAAACATCTCAGTTTGTATGAATGTGACAATGGAGACAGTTTGTAGTACAAGAGTGATTGATAAATATCACTGTGTCTGCTATGAGGAAACAGATGCCATCAGGTGGTGGTATGCTGGTGTTCCTACCTAGGCTTTCTAACTAGCTTAACCAGCAAACTATCTTTTTAAAGCCATTTAGTTGACATGGCTATGCTAATCCACTAGCTAAACCAGCTGGTCTTTTCAGCAGGTTTAGCTCAGGTCTGGTACAGGGGACTAATGATATATGTGACCCTGGACCACAAAACCAGTCATAAGGGTCAATTTCTCGAAATTGGGATTTATACATCATCTGAAAGCTGAATAAATAAGCTTTCCATTAATGTATGGTTTGTTTGTCTGAGATACAACTATTTGAATATCTGGAATCTGAGGGTGCAAAAAAATCCAAATACTGAGAAATTTGCCTTTAAAGTTGTCCAAATGAAGTTCTTAGCAATGCATATTACTAATAAAAAATTAAGTTTTGATATATTTAAGGTAGGACATTTACAAAATATCTTCATGCAATATGATCTTTACTTAATATCCTAATGATTTTTGGCATAAAAGAAAAATCGGTAATTTTGACCCATACAATGTTTGTTTTTTTTGCTATTGCTAGAAATATACCCAAGTGACTTAAGACTGGTTTTGTGGTCCAGGGTCACATATGAGAATGTCCGTGATACAGAAGCGAGAAAAAAAAAATCTAGTTTCAAACATACACACATGCTCATCAAGTTTAGAAAATAAACTCTTTGATTTCATGCTGGTTTCATATTGCACCATTTTCAAGAAAAGTTGTAATTTAGTGTTATAAGATATTTATGGCAAAGCAAGGTGCCATGTGTTGCAACTTACTTATGAATTAATAATTTAATTTCTATACGCTATTTTTTTTTCTTGTAAATATCTGGATTTTGGTTGTACCACATGGCTTGTGGAAATTTTTTCATATATGTATAAGCAATGAAACGCTATTTTATTCTTTCAAATTTCTGGATTTTGGTTGTACCACATGGCTTGTGGACATTTTTTCATATATGTATAAGCAATGAAATGCTATTTTATTCTTTCAAATTTCTGGATGTTGGTTGTACCACATGACTTAAGGACATTTTTTCATATATTTATGAGCAATGACACGCAATTTGTTTCCTTGCAAGTTTCTGGATGTTGGTTGTACCTCATGACTTGTGGACATTTTTTCATATATTTATAAACAATGAAATCTTTTTTTTTTTTGTGCAAAATTCTGGGTGTTGCTTTTACCACATGACTTAAGGACATTTTTTAATATATTTATGAGCAATGACACACAATTTGTTTCCTTGCAAGTTTCTGGATGTTGGTTGTACCACATGACTTGCAGACATTTTTTCATGTATTTATAAGCAGTGAAACTGTTTTTTTTTTTTTTTACAATATTTTATTAGAAATAATAATAATAAAAAATGTCTCTACTTAATTATGTTGTATTTTTTTAATGAGGCTTTTGTCTTCATAATGCTATGGGGACAGTTGTATCACCTTCACATTTTTTTACTTTATGCCAAAAATGTTT